TTTGTTGGACTTGAAGTGACAAACACAACAATGTTGAAGTAATATATTGCAATAAACCCATAATAAATAGACAACAATCAACAATTAATAATATAGAAAAAATAAAAAACACATAACGATTTACGTGAAAATCTCTTTAGTATAGAGAAAAAAAATTACGAACTACAAAAAAAATCTTCATTATCAAATAATGAATGTAAAAAATTTTTCTTTAGCTAAAATTAGAGTTAATCAACAATTAAAGAGACAATTGAAGAAATATCATCAAATAGGTGACTTAACAAATATATTTTAGATTTGTTCATAGAAAACTTCAAATTCGATCACCACCATTCAAAATGTAAAACACTAAATCATGAATCTATTAATAAAATTTTAACTCAATCAAATCATAAATTGACTTTTGTTCAATTGATTATTCTCTCTTCTCTCTTTTTTCTTTTTTCTCATCCTTTTCTGGCTCTTTTCTTTCCTTTTCAGTACCACCATTTTTTCATGCCTAAACAGCCCCCACTTCTTTATTATTTAGGGCTTTTTATTCCTTGGTCAAACAGAAAAGGCTTTGGGCCTTTTAATTGTTGAAAATCGACGGGAATGGACCCCACATTCCTAACACTAATAACATATAATTATTTTTATTTTTATTTAATTAATAAAAAAATGAGATTGTCAAATTTGAGATTATTGAGACTTTTAATATTGACAATTTATTTATTTATTGTTTGTTAGGTGTGTTTAGGGTATGAGATTTTGGTTTGTGAGATATTTAGGTTAGTGGGATTTGGTCATAATAGGGGATGAGAGTTTGCTTTACAGATTTAATATGCAACATGTCCTACATAAACAAAATAAGGATGAGCAAATATTTCTTTTTTTTTTGTTTTCTATTTTAATAATTTTTATTTTTTTTCTATTTTAATATTTTGATTTGATGCTTAATTCATTACTGTTATAGTAGAAATTTAGAGTGTACAGTGCTTTAACCAAATATTATAGCTAAATGCAAGTAAATATTGATTGCACTTTTATGGAACATAATTTTATGATTTTTACTATGATTTACTCTCTTTGAAATTTTTATATTTATTGGACTTTCAATTTTTAAAGTAAATTATTTATCCTTTTATTCTCAGACAATAGGTGATACCCAAATAATTAATTGACAATTGGAAAATTTTCCTTAGATTGTGGACATGATTACATTTAAATATAAAGGAGTTTGGATTGAGGAAATCATGCTTTTGAACTACAACTAAAAATAAAAAAATAAAAAAAGCATCCTATAATGGTTAGCTTATGATTATTTCTTTTTTCTTGGCAGGTGGCAGTTCAATCTTATTGTGAATTTTGTAATTAATGTGTTTAGCAGATATTTTATTTTCTTCAGGTACTTCTAATGCCAAATTTTTTATATATTTATGTAACTTGAATTTTTGTTGAGAATTCGAAATGAATGCATTAAAAAATTAAAATCTAAAGATTCTTAAGATGACAAACAAATGATAAACTAAGAATTTTTGTAATTAAGTTCTATATTTATTTTTTGTTCTATCTACTTACAGCTTTATTATTTTTAATAACTTATATTTATGTTATATTAATTAAAAATTATTCTTTCAACTGTGTTATAAAATAAAAAAATCGCGACGAAGTGCGGGACGGCACACCAGTATTTTTAAAAAGCAAAGCCAACTACGGCATGATGCGGGGAAGAGATGACAAATGTGTAAGTTTTGTAAAAGTACAAATTTTTTTACAATTTTTAGTGTTATTTATTCGACAATGGCAAAGATGAAACCACCTTGCTCAAGTAAATGGGCTGCTAGATAAAATTTGGAATATATTTTATTGATCTGCTAACGATTTAGGAAAGCAAATGCAAATGTTATTTAAATAGTCGTTGTGTGAAAAATCAGAGGAGAGGGCGATTTAGGTTGCAATAACTGGAGACAAAAGGCAAGCAACAAAATGGGCAAGTCAAAATTCAATGAGCCCCGGTGATTGAGGTTGGCCCTCTGCCGCTACTTGGACCTGGTCGTGACCGCATTATGCTGCATTTGTTGAGATAGTCTATGTCTTAATTTAGCTCATATCTGCACTTACGTGAGCTACTGCTGTCAACAGCTAGCTGTCGGTAGCGTAATCCAATTTGCAACACCAAAAAAAAAAAAGTCTTAGTATACTATGCGTAGCTTAAAATGTTGAAAATTGATGAAATCAGATTGAGAGAGTTAAAATTTACGTACTCATTTGGGATATAAATTGTGTTATTGGTCAGTCACTCGGTATGATTCACGCTTTAAGACTTATATACACCCCAGCAAGCTCAATCTCAACCCAGTCATGGGTTAATTTCCTATACTATATATATATTATTTTTAGTATGATTAAAATTTAAAATCTTTAATTTTGAAATTGATTTTAATATACTATTCGTTGACCCTTTGAATCCAAGAGATAAATCAAACGTAAATAATTACGTTGGTATATCAAGAATTAGCAACAATAATCTTTGAAATTTGAGAAAAAATCATATCTTTTTTAATCATAATTTATTAAAATTTATGTTAATATGTCAAGAATTGACAATCATAATCCTTGAAATTAAAAAAAAAAAAACGTATTTCTTTGAATGATTAATTTAAAATTTTAATAAATTAATCATTTTAAAAAATATAATTTTTTCTCAAATTTCAAATTTCAAATTTCAAAAGCTATGATTGTCCGCTCTTAACATACCTAATATAATTTTTTACATTTGATTTGTAGCTTCACCTCAAAGAGTCAAAGAATAGCTTATTACGTAATAGTACGGACAGAACTCTTCTTCTAATTAAGCTATGATGACTCTTTAAAACAATATTAAAAAAAAGAAAAAAGAAAAATAATAGCTCCAAGATTTGGCATTCGACGTTTGTACATGAATAGTCATTGGTTACATTAATACTCAGAATATTGGTGAATCATCACTATAAACTTGATTCTGTGAACTTTGAACGAACGATAATACCGAAACCAAGCATCAGCAAAGACCAAGTCAAAGTCAATGCACAATATTTCACTCAAATCACTTTCCCCAGAAAAAAAAAATTTCAGCTTTGTCATTTACCAGCTACGTATCAACCCATTATTCACAGCAAGCTAGCAATGCCCAAAATTTCCTTCATGGCTAAGGCTTTTACATTCCACAGCTGAGGAATGTTTTTAAGGCCATTTTTAGGCTACTGAAACTGAAGTAATGATCAGTTTAGGGAGCAGAGGCAAAGCTAAAAATTTGATAAAAGAGAGATTATACAATAAATTTTAAAAAAATAAAAATAATTGATCATTGTAGAATAAAAAAATAAAAAATTTTGAGATTCCGTGATCTTGTTTGTCCCTTCTAATCTCGTCCCTAATAGGAAGCAAATAAATTTTTGAAAATTGATAACATTGGTGTACGATTTATTTAATTATCAATTTTGAAAATGGATTGAATTAATTGAATAAATTATTTTTTAATAAATTAATGTTAAAATTGAATAAAGCAAATCAAATTACTATATTTCAATTAATTTCAATCATTTAAATCTATTAGTGCTTACCACTGCTCATGAAGCTAATTTAGAGTACTGGTTTTCTTTTTGTTAGTGTAAGTTGACGACTATACAATGTTGACCCGGCAAGCTGTCTATTCAAAATTGGAACAAGGGCACGATCGCCATTTCGCTGGTCAACGACGCTTCCCAATGGTCGAAAGCACTATATAGCGTTTGTCCACTTTTTCAATAATAGCCATTCAATATTCGCCACAACGCATTGTATCTTCTGCAAACACGACTTTGTCTTTGTCTTATAAACAAAAGATAGAAAGAAAAAAAAAAGGTTTCTTTGCATCTTTTTCAATTACATCATTCACCCTTTTTGTTACGCTAATTGTTTTGTTATTGGGGGTTGGGACCATATGATTTCGAGTAATTTTTAGTCTACAACTCGCATGAGATTGGAACAAAAATGTCAAGACAAGCAATCAATTTCCTCTCTAAAAGAAAGTTAATTTCATAAATTCACATCAAATAAAAAATTTTGTACTTTTATGTAAATCTTATCTTTGGACTTTGAACAAAGGAATTAAATTAAATTTTTTTTAATTTGTTTAATATAGTTAAATTAAAATATAAAAACAATATATACTAATCAATGAGATGTTAATTTAATGATAAAAAAATTGAAAATTTTACATTTTAATTATGAATTTAACCTAATTGTATTTGATTATTTCAAATCTTGACATTGAATTATTATTATTTTTTTCATAGCGAGAGTGAGATAGTACTAATTTCTCTTTAACATGGCTTTAATTTCCATGTAACGAGGGATATTATCACTTATAAAATAAGCTAAGAGAAGCACCACCCTTCACTTCAGCCTTTGCGCATTGCGTGTAATAAAATAATAAATAATAAATAAAAAAAAAGAAGAGAAAGGAGCATCCTGTTCTCATTTTAAAATAAAATTAAAAGATTTTTCAAAATACTTGGCATGATAAATTTTTTATTTATTATAATCAAATTCCCCATACTGTTACCATCTGGCAAGTAGCCACCCTAGTTCACTCTTTTCCCTAAATTGCAACTATTTTTTAATGTTTTTTATAGTTTAATATAAAAAATTCGAAAATAGAACTTTTGACCTGAAAGAGCTAATATTGAAAAAGAAAGCTTTTATAAAAAAAAAAATTCTCTAGAATCTTTTTGTTTTTGGATATAAGATGTTTCTATTTTGAAGATATCAACACTCCACCAATTTTTCGTAAAAATAATTCTCAACTCAATAATCAAATGTTTAAAATTTTCGAATTTTCTCATTTAGATTTATTATTTTTGAAGATCTCTATTATTTTTTTCTAGGAAGAAAAAAAGAAAAAGAAGAGTTTTTGCTTTAAAAATTAAAATTTTTTTGCATTTTCCTATTTTAAAAAATTATTTTTTAATAATCTAAAAAATAAATTAATTTTTTAATATAAATTCTACCTTTTTAAGACAGGAACGACGACTAAAGCCACCAGAACAGAACATCAGTTGAGTTTGCGCCCGCCATTTAGGATTTTAGCTCATTGCTCCCTCCCTCACCAAACGCTTCCCGCCGATTATACCAACCAACCGACGATGGGGTATAGCGATTTTTTCGCTGGAGAAATCGGAACGGAGCTTCTTAAACAGTTAATCGCCATCTCAAGCAAAGCCTGCCTCTGCAAATCCAGTGCGGACAATCTCATCGCAAGCATCCGAGAACTCCTTCCTATCATCGAAGAAATCAAATTCTCCGGCGTTGAACTCTCCCCCTTTCGTCAATATCAACTCAATCGCTTCTCCGAGACCTTACGTGGCGGCATCGAATTGGCCCGCGAAGTCCTCACTGCCGGCCGATGGAACGTGTACAGACACGTCCAACTGGCAAGGAAGATGGAGAAGTTAGAGAAACAAGTCGAGAGTTTCATTAACGGGCCGATGCAGGCGCACTTGTTAGCTGACGTGCACCACATGCGGTTCGAAACGATGGAGCGGTTCGACCGGTTGGAAAGTCGCTTGGAGCAGCGGCTTAATTGGATGAAGAATGGGGCGGGAGGGTGGGTTGAAGAAGCGGTTAAGAGAATGGAAGTTGAAGGGGAGGCTAGCTTGGGAACTTTGGGTGGAGTTGGTTTGGATTTGGGAAAAAGTAAGGTGAAAAATATGATACTTGGAATGGATGATTTAAACGTTGTTGGAATTTGGGGCATTGGAGGATCAGGGAAAACTACTTTGGCTAATGAAATTTGTAGAGATAATCAAGTTCGAAGTAAGTGATCCAACAGGTCTTTTTTGGTTGTTAATGGCCGATTATGAAAGTACTAACCACTTCTGTTTTTGTCTTTTTAAGGTTACTTCAACAACAGAATTTGCTTTCTAACTGTATCACAATCACCGGATCTGGAACAATTGAGGGCAAAAATATGGGGATTCATTACAGCCAACGAGGCGATGGGTTATCTTAATAACCTGTTTGTTCCACAAGGGAAGTTACTGTCTGAGTGGGGAAGTGGACCGCGAGCTCTGGTTGTTTTGGATGATGTCTGGTCGTCGTCCGTACTTGAACAACTAATTTTCAGGATACCAACATATAAAACTCTGGTAGTTTCGAGATTTAAGTTCCCAACAAGTGTTGTTAATGAAGTTTATGAAGTTGAGTTGTTGAGGGAAGATGAATCAATGTCCCTGTTTTGTCACTCTGCTTTCGGGCAAAAATCGATTCCTCCTACTGCCAATGAGACTTTGGTCAAGCAGGTAATAATGAATTTAAAGGATTAATAGTCTATAGGTAAGCTGGTTAGTTTCTTTTTTGCTGATGTTTGTGAACTTTTGGATTTGACAGATTGTTGATGAATGTAAAGGACTTCCTTTGGCACTTAAAGTGATTGGAGCTTCGTTGCGAGACAAACCTGAAATGTATTGGGCTAGTGCAAAGAAAAGGTTATTACGAGGAGAACCGATCTGCGAGTCTCACGAAAACAAATTAGTGGAGCGGATGGCAATCAGCGTGGAGTACTTGAACGAAACGGTTAAGGAATGTTTCTTGGATTTGGGATCATTTCCAGAAGATATGAAAATTCCCCTAGATGTTCTCATAAATATGTGGGTTGAGATCCATGATATTGAAGAGGAAGAAGCTTTTGCCATTCTTACCGAGCTTTCTGATAAGAACCTAGTCACTCTGGTAAAAGATGCTCGGTATGTTACTCAGGACTCTTTATTTCTCGGTAACTTAATTGGGGTGGTTTTACTTAGTTGAGATAGCTGATTTTGTTCTCTGAATTGAATTGGACAGGGCTGGAGATGCTTACTGTAGTAACTATGAAATCTGTGTTACTCAGCATGATGTGTTGAGAGACCTTGCTCTTCATCTAAGCAATCGTGGGGAAGTGAATGAAAGGAAGCGGATACTTATGCCTAGAAGAGATAGAGAACTTCCAAGAGATTGGGAAAGAAATTCAGATCAGCCATTCAAGGCTCGGATTGTTTCAGTTCATACAGGTATCATGGATTCATGATCACTTTTTCTAATTGCTTTGCATTAAATAATTTTGTACAAGTACCTGAAACTTAGTATTGCTTTAGCTGTATATTTTGTTGTCCTTCTGTCATTGCTTACTATGTTTTAAATTTCATCACTTGACAGGAGAAATGAGGGAAATGGACTGGTTCCGCATGGAGTTCCCTAAGGCTGAAGTACTCATACTGAATTTTTCCTCCTATGAATACTTCTTGCCTCCTTTCATAGATGATATGCCCAGGCTTAGGGCACTTATTGTAATAAACCATGGTACGACTGAGGCAACGCTTCAGAATTTTTCAGTTTTTACTAATCTGGCAAATTTGCGGAGCCTGTGGCTTGAAAAAGTGTCTGTTCCTCAATTATCCAACGCCACTGTTCCCTTGAGGAACTTGCGGAAAATATCTATGGTTCTCTGCAAGGTTAATAACAGCTTTGATCCATCAGTGCTAGACCTGCCACATATCTTTCCTCGTCTATCAGAGGTCATAATTGATCATTGTGATGATTTGATTAAGCTGCCCTTAAGCATTTGTAAGGTGAATTCACTCCAAAGTCTGAGCATAACCAACTGCCACCGATTATGTGAATTGCCTACTGATTTGGGTATGATGAAGAAACTACAGATACTTAGGCTGTATGCTTGTCCAGAACTTAAGATGCTCCCTCCTAGCATTGGCGAGCTAACGGGGTTAAAATGCCTTGATATTTCACAATGCGTTAACTTGAGGTATCTACCTAGGGAAATATGTAAATTAGCAAGCCTGGAAAAGATAGACATGAGTGAGTGTTTGCAGATCGTGAATCTACCAACATCATCTGCTTTGTCGAACTTGAAGTCACTACGCCGAGTTATCTGTGATGATGAAATTTCTGGGCACTGGAGAAATGTGGAGAAGGACATGCCACACCTTCATGTTCAAGTTGCAGAAAAATGTTATAGTTTGGACTGGCTTAATAGCTGAAATAGTTCCTGTATCTGTCTGTTAATGTTAACATCAATGTTCATAATTTTAACAATTGTAATATTTGTTAGATTAATAGAAGCCTTGGTGCTGCTGGATTAAATTCTTACATTACTGCTTCTAATGGCTCTATCTTGATGTGAGATAGTTCATGACTCATGAAACTTTGCCCTGAACTTTGGGTCCTGGCTCTGAACATTGTTGCGCACCAATTTTTCTCTTCAGGACAATCAGTTACTGATATTAGAGTACCTTGTTTTAATAAAAAGAGCAATTTTCTTTTTCTTTCCAAGAAAGTAACTTTTTTTATCAGCCAAGTCAAGAAGAGGCCCAGCAAAAGAAAAAAAAAGTATAAAAGTTACACCATGGATAAGGACAGTGCATCATCTGGGATGGTCATGGGCGGCTTGGTAGCATTAGTGGACAGCTTATGGAAGCAACTTTTTGTGCATATGGTTCCAAAAGTTAGGACTGCAAAATTTTGCATCAATTCGATGAATGGAGATTGGAGACTTATTCTGACCATAACTTTTGTTTGGATACAAATTCAATTCCAAACTTTAATCTTCTCCTGAATTCTGTTTAGTAAAATCTTCACAAAATCTTCTCCTGAATTTAGAGTTTAATTCAAATTATTCACCCATTTTTTTTTTTAAATTTTAAAACTAAAATTTAATCTCCAAACACTTGCAATTTCATTTTCCCAATCTCCTATGCTTCGTTCTCATGTACCAAAAGAAAATCTTCACAATGCATTTATCTCATTCAATTTAAGTTGGGATCAATCGTTTTCTTTCGTTTATTTTCCCTTCTTAAGACTTTTTGGTCGGTTTGCTTTCTTCAGAGTCCAAATGACTAAGAGAGCAAGGACTCATTTTTTAAGGGAAGAAAACAAGTGAAGGGATAGAAACGCGTGGATCCCACAATGAGATTCCCTTAATATAAAATCAACCTCAAATTGAGGTCTCAGCCATCGGCTTTCTGTTGTCCTCTTGGATTTCTTGTTGCCATTCTATTCGCTAGTCAATGCAGCATAAAAAGCCGTTCACATTGCTTAATACCAACTTTTTTATACTGCTTTAAATCAACTTTAATACTTCAAAAATCCATGGTTGATTATATCTAAACCAAACCCATGCCATGTTCTTTCAGTTGTAGTCATTAGTGATGAAACAGGAGTTAGGTTTAGCGTGATAGAATAGTATAAAAGTTATAACCAGTAATTTTTTTTACCATTTTGGCCTAACTAATCAAATTGACTTGCATATCTGATAATGACCCCCACTTTTATTATACTGAGGCGGCTCTAGAGGTTCCATGGATGACAATTGGTGTTGCTTTCACCACCACTCCACGTTTGGAAAAGATCAAAACTTTATGACAAAGAAACATTATCGAATTTTTTATTAACTCTGTGAGGTTGGCGTCGATAACCAATCAACAAAGTCAGTTAAAATCAAAGTGTAAGCAACTCTTAAGTTACTGGGATTCATTAGTTGTTCAAAACAGTGATGATCAAATCAAATCGAGTTTTCAAATAACTTGTTTATTTTGTTCAAGCTAAGGTGCAATTACGCGCCAAGATTCATAATCAAGGCTTTATTTTTCAGTCCACTGCAGATCTTGCACGGTTATTATACCCTGGAAGTGTGAACAAGTCCACTGCCTAATGAGATATTGGAATATGAACACAAAGTCTTTTTTCAGGCTCCTCAAGAAGACTATATCATTTCCAAAATAAACAAGGAAATGTTTTTTGATCAAAATTTCATCTAATTCACTGCTTGCCAACCTTGAAAATCAACAAGACTTAGAGAGTCTAAATTGCAAAGAAAATAACCAAAGGCAGTAGAAGATTGAAATTCCGCGCATTGACCGAAGATGACGGTCTTGTAAATGATTTAACACAACTCATGCATATAAACATGAAATATGCCCATATTGTAGCTAATATACAAACAATGTACTGTGTTTAGAGAAACCTGGTGGGTATATATTCATTTATTCTGAGGGGATAGCTGTAGAACTCTTCAGTTCTAACATCTCCCTTGCTGCCTTGGAATGGTTTCCACCACGGAACTCCTCTATCAACCACATTCTTGGCTTCTAGTGTGTTATCAAGCAAGGTCCCAATAATTATTGCCACAGTTGCGGGTGATGAGAAGATTGTGTTCAGTATATCATTAAACTGCATGCATCGTAATTGGATGTATATCAGACAGATAAGCAAATAGACAACAAAAATATATTTCTAACTGTAAATGCATCTCCAAATCGGGTAAACTAATGGAAATTGACCAACATTTTGAACATTTATCCCAATTAATTACAGTGAAAGACCATCACCTACGAATTTGAACCTGTAATCAGGTAATATTATGAGATTCACATGATAAATAATCTGCACCATCTTAACATAAGCCTGTAAATGTTATAAAGGCCTGTTTTCTGTTAGAATTTAGTTATTTTACTTTTCCGTATATCCTTCAGGGCCTTATTCCATACGTTAGCTTCTAATTGACTAGACTGTGACAGGCAATACGGAGAACAAAACAATCGCAGTGCATAACTCACCCATCCAGCATTTGTTCTAACTGGTCCATGACCATCATAGGTTGTGTTCATTGCAAAGTATTGAGGAATCGATAGCCCGAGGAATAGAGACACACCCAAAACATAGATGTTTCTCATTGAATTATTATTTGCAAATTGTATGAATGTGATCCCACAAGCAGCTGCACCAAGAGGGAAAAGAAGGGACGGGTATTCCCAATTAAAGAAACAATAGGATATTAGATACAAAAATATCATGCCTATAGAGGCACTCACCAACAATGCCCAATAAAATGCAGTATATGGCAGCAAAAATTGGCAATGGAATAGAGGCAAAAAATGCACCAAATTTCCCTGAAAGAATGTAAGGTAATGCAATCAAGTGAGAACATGATAAATAAAGGGCAAAATTTTCAAAGCAATTAAAGTCAAAGTACAAAAGCAAACCAAATATGGAGAAAAATATCATGAAAGCAGTCGAAATCTGCACCACCCTTCTGCTTCCTATATGTGTAAGTCCCAGAAGGCCAACATTTTCACTGCAATATAATTCAGATGAGACAGTGAAATAAGTTTCTAAAACATGGTGCCATCTATCAGTTATGGTTTTTTACAGTTAACAAATACTGTATATAGAATGGAACTTCTCCTTATAAAAGCAATGTTCCTTACACAGATGCGGTAGTACCAACAAGAGAACCAAAAAGTCCTTCGAGCAGCATACCAACACCCTGCAATCAAGATGACTAAGTTATCTTCACCATTGACAAAATAATATCTTGAGATTCAAAATAATATCATACAACATTTACAATTAATCATTTTACAGAAATCATTGATGACTAAGTTCCAAAAAACAATGCACAGCAATATAGGAAAGGACCTGTAAGCCAATACTTCTGCTGAGTACATGTGCTGGAGGGGCTGTGGCACCAGAAAGCCGAGCTGCAGCAAAATATGTTCCAGTTGACTGCATTGAAAGTCATATCTAAACTTCAGAGTATACAAGGTTAATGAACATAAAAAAATCTTTTGAGTCGAGCTAAAACACAGAAAAGTCTATGTAACTTGATGCAGACTCAAATTTAAAATTGGGTTAAGTAAATCCAAAACAATACGAAATAACAATACTAAATACAATTAAAATATTCTAAGATAGTGACTAAACCTCTGCAGATGAAACAAGTGCGGCACCTATCATCCCAAACACATGGCTAGCCCTGAATATAGGCGTGCCCCACTGAAACGGGTATGGAATTTTGATCCTAGAAACAAAAGTATGAAATAATGAGTCATAAAGAAGAAATCAATTATAATTAAACCAAACAAGCAGAGCAGCACATCATAACCATACCAAGGGGCAGATGACATTAGGAAAGATTGATCAGTGCGGCAACTCTGTTTAGTTGCAGTCTTAACATTGTTGTAAGCACCAGACACAGTGAGGATAGCAGCAAAAGCCCAGATAATTCCGATACAAAAGAGCAAAGCAAACCTCTCAAGTATAAGATTGACTCTTGAATGTATGTGTTTCAGGTACTGCAGTAAACAATACTTCTTGTCAAATTAATAAAGAAGAATGTTAGTATGAGATGAGACATTACACTCCAGAGTAATTTATATTACCTGTTGGGAAATAACCAGTAGAATGAGCATAGGCAGGCCAATTTCCACACAGTTACCAAGCTGTATCATAAGTTAATTGCATAAAGAGCACTTTGTATCAGTATATTATCAGTTCCAACCAAGCACAAAAGTGTTCAAAGAGAATTACCAATGGAAAGCCTCTTGCAAACAGACCAAGACCAACAAGACAAATCACTGGCACCACGACTATAGGACTAAAGAATCTAAAGAAAAAGAGGTTAAAAAGAAAACTATTAGAAAATCAGTGGTGAGAACCCATCTCAAGCTATAACTAACAAGCAGGCAAGGAACTGGAAGCAATAAATAAGATAGGTCATATGACTGATACTCAAAAGTGAAAACTACATTCACCATTACCTTGTCAGCTCCCCCCATGCCCTGCCATACCCAAGGATGATATTGACAAAGGAAGAAACAATTAATGATCCTTGAATGGTTCTCATACCACGGACAAACCGCTGCAAGCAAACCCCCAGATAATATGGTCATTAGCCAAGAATGTGCAAGGGAAAATAGAAAGACTACACCAACAATGAGCAAATCTATTGAGCATGTACATCAAGTGAGTTATACGATAGCAACTCTGTTCAAACACCACAGACGCTGTAGCTTATAACCTATACAGGTAAAATTGAAATTTGGGAAATAGCTGAGATATAATCAGAAGGAGCAAAAATAGGGGAGACAAATTAAAACCATTTCTCAAAGGGTACTGGAGAAGAAATAATTGGGTTGAAGCTGTGGAAGGAAAAAGTGTGTTCCGCAAACCAGGCATATTTAAACCAAGAACAAGAAGTATTCATTTGATTCATGAGTTGTAGGTTCAGGTCAAGATCATACAAAAGTAAATAGTAGTCTATAACTTATAAAACCTACAACAAAATTTATATTACATCTACCTACTGAATGATGAATAATTCCTACTTAATTACAGTGCAAAGAACTTTATAATTCATAAGTTCCTAATACTTTTTATTCTATCTTGCTAAAGTTTACATACATCATGCTCAGTTGCAAAGGCCTCATCAGTATAATCATTGATGATCGACAATAATGGTAAGGTGTATGCAAAAGATGCACCCATCACTGTGGGAAGCCTTGAGCCAATAAGCGTTTGAAGCAGAGTATTAATGCCTGACATAAACAGCAACACTTGAATAACCCGTGCTTTATCACCCTGTTCATAGCAATCAGAGGATTGAGATATAAAAAGGCACCAATCCCATCAAAATTTTATCGTATTGAAATTGTCTATACAAATCATAAAACATACATGATTTCCACCCATCCGAGGAACCATAGTACTTGCAATTAAGACTGTAGTTCCAAGATTCACAATGTAGTGTTGGAAAGCCAGTAAAAGCGCATGAGCTGTCAAACAAGTTGATTCCGTAAGATTAGGTGTAAAAGATTTCAATTCTAAAAAAAAAAAAAATCAATTTACATGGTTGAACTTAAGCCACTTATTCAGCTACTAAAAACAAACAAAAAACTTATCCTAGTTTAGGTGAAAAAGGGTATTACAATGTACAAGGTGGGGTGATAGGACTAAATGAAATCAAAAGAGAATCAGAACAAATGATACATAACAGTCCTTTAAAGAATTTAATGAAAAGAACCCATAAAGAAAAAATATTCAAAAGTAACTTAAAATTTTTTAAAAACAAAAATCTTAAAGAGATCCCTTTGATCTTCTAACTTCACCATCAAAGTAAAAACATGCAAAGGAAAAGAAAAAAAATTATTAGTCATACCAACTAAAAAGCAAGCAACTTAACATAAAAGATTAAAAGCTTCAACTTTTGTCAACCTGTTATTAAATTAAACGGTAAATACTTGGCCACAAAGCAAAAAAAAAAAAAAAAAAAAGAAGAGAAACTGACGCCAAGAAGGATTGGAGTGGATGCAGTATTGAAGCTGATGAAGTTGCTCAGCAGGAGCCCAAGTAGGTCCTATTGAAAGCGCAAGATTTGGTGGTGCAGCCGGTGGTGTAACCACTTGCGGTGGCGGTGGGTGGTGCTGGTGGTTCTCTGTTTCCCCCATCCTTTTCTCCTTTTTTTTTTTTTGCTTTTCAGTTAATTTTTTGCAGTCCTTGTTGTGATCTTCTTTTTGTTCTTCTTCTTCACTTAAACCAGACAGCTAATAGAGTTTTCAGATTCATAAGAAAAAAAAATGGAATAATAAACGGTTTAAAGTAGTTCAAATTATTCTTTCTGTTCTCTTCCCGGTAGCTGACAACTAATCACCGACGAAAAAAAAGAAAGAAATAAAGAAAAGAGAAATGATTAAAGAAACAAGCTTTTGTTTTGTTCTGATAATGAAAAATAATAAAGAAAAAAGGGCAGTTCAAGTTCAGGCAGTTCAGCTGATTTAATAATTTTTTAAAAGTCTCCAAAAAAGAAAAATGAAAACTTTACAGAGGAAAGGGAGCAAAGCAGTTCGACATACGTTACGTTTTGTGGCATTGGAGTCGTATTTGGAGGATAGCGCGTGGGTCCGGCTCTACTTTTCTTACATTCCATCTACCAGATCTTACAATGTAATTTTTCGATTCAATTTCGTTGAAAATAACATTTATGCCATTCATCTTTTCTTAATTTATCTTCTAAATTTCTTTCATTTAACATCGTTTTAATGGGGTGATTTCTAATTAGATACGGTTTTTTTCCCTTGTCTAAACCCAACATGACTTTACATACATTTTACTGAAAAACACTATTTTAATTTTTTTTTATTTATCCATTTATGAGAAAGCAATGATGCTTCAAAATTATATGGCTAATCTTGGTGTAATTCAGTTGTCAAATCAAAAACCAATAGGACCAAGAATCAAGAACCGACTAGAACCAGCTGCTTTTAATTTTTCAAGACCGTTCATAAAAGAAAAAGATAAATATGAACAGTAATTAAGATTATGGGGTCTAATCTTCAACAGATTCATGATAATTAAGTTCCACCTTAAAGGAGAATGAATTACTACCTTGTTCCGCAAGTAATAATCATGAAATCAAGTTGTTTTCTCCTATCCTAGCTAACAACTTAATTAATGCACTCGGTTTTAATTATGCAAATCCTACAAATCTATTTTTTAAAGACTTTTCTTTATATTGTTTGAATAAATAGGGTGGGGTTAATTTGTAAATTTAGAGGATCAAGGAGGGGCAGATTTGGCATTTCAGCATTGCTATAAAGAAATAATTGAAATATTTAAAATTTCACTCCAGCCATGTGAAGGCCAGGCAATGCGTAGGGACCATCATCTCAATTAATGAATTAGGGTTATTTGTAAAAAAAAAAAAAAAAACTCTTCTATTTTTGGTAAATTGAGAATTGTTTTTTAGTTGAATATAGATACCATGAGAGTTGTCATTTTATGCCACTGTATACGTGGGCTCCATTCCGACTATATATATTCGTACGACGTTACTTATGGAAGAGCCTAGGAAACTGAATTTTCTACGTGTTGCAGCCAGATGGCTAGGCCTGGACCCTGTCCACCCTGTGTCGTTTTCTATGGAGTGCTTGACCATGACAAAACATCTCAAACATGCATATGTGCCTAGTCAGCACGACATGGATCTACAGTACAGTGGTGAGACAACCAGGTTCGAGTCTTGGGCTTTACTTTGGATTACCCTGCTTCTGATGAATTTACCTAGATCCATTCTTTGTCAGTTGGCAGCAAATCTCAGCTCCTAAGGAATCTTGGGCCGTATGCTCGATGCGAGATTAACAATGGAGCCAGAAAGTCAAGAACAAAGGAGGTTGTTTCTTTCACCAAAAAAGAAAAAGAACGGTTGTCCCAGATTGCCGCGTTTGAGTTAAGCTCAGAATGGGCCAATGGACCATTTTCTTTGCAGATTAAGACCCATTTCTGGTCTCAGATTGGGTTATAATCTACTATTTGATATCCATTCTTGTTAGAGGGCAATCTGTGCAAGAGCAATTTATCTAAGAAAGGGCTGCTTTTGTTTATTTGCATTTCGTTTTTGGTGTTGAAACCTTTAATCTAAAGTCTAGTCTAGTAAATATTTTTCAATATCAAAGTATTAAACCATTCAGATGCAAAATTGTATCGTGAAAAGAAAAAAGAAAAAGAAGTAGATCCTATTTTTGTTAATTCTCAAGCTTAAATTTATTATCTACAAAACAGTTTCATAGTTTGTACTTGTTGACAATATCCATTGATAAAACATCTCTTCCTTGAGAACCTTTCTAGTGCTCTGCATCATCGCTATCTAATAAATAATACGTTCTTCATCACCTTTCAAACTTGAAGAATTCATTAATGGATAATAGATTGCTGGTAGTAAAGAAAAATGAAGAAGATAGAATTCACAGAAAAAATGAAAGCGAGGAGAGCTATGATTCAAGTATTCAACAAGTTAAAAAAACGGGAGAATGTAATTTATTTCTAATGTCAAGTAGTTAATTATTACAACTTATATGGGGTGAACAGCAAAGTCACAAGGAAAAAAAAAACAGAGAAAAAGTAAGAAAAGGAAACTTACAAGAAAGTACAGTTCACATCATTCAAGTGGCACTAGTCTCTAGCATCTACAAAATACAACACATTAACCAGATACTTGAAATTACCAGAATCTTCTGTTTGTTGAGCTACATATCCTAAGACAGTTTCTCCTACATAAGGGCTATAAGAGATTTATAAGCTTTCAAGAGGATTGAGGACGTGCCCAATGAACAGAACAACTCCAGTCACATCTTCCCTGACGAGGAAGAGGAATGGATGATCAGCCACAAAGTCTATGTTTTCCTGAACAAGCAGACCCCTGAGTTTTATGAGACTAGCAGTAGCAGCGGCAGCTTCTGTCCCTTCTTCATTGACTTCTATGAAAGACTTATGGAATATATTTGAAACATACAGGTTCTGAACCAGAGGTGAATCCACCATCTCCGTCAAACCTCCTTCACCAGAGAAAGGCAATACAAGTCCTAATCTCTTAAGAACTACAGAAGCTTCAAGTCCAAATGAAATTTTGAATCTTGGAATCCTGAATTCACCCACTTCAACTGGTTCATATGGAAGATGGCGTTCTAAGAAACCAGATTCAGAACTTACTTTCTCTACCAAAGCTGGCAGACGATCTTTTGCATCTGGAAGAAAGAAATACATGGAGAAACGACGCTTATCTCCACCTTGTTTATATGGAAGCCTTAGGACCTTGAAACCATCATAGGCACTAACAGTTTGCTTCTTTTTGCTGGTCATAAAAGGCACCTTAACAGAGCTGCCATTTATAAGGTGGAAGTCATAGTCTTTTGTTTTTGATGCATCAAATGTTTCATTCCAAGCTCCTTTGAAGTAAAGGGCATTAGTAAATATAAGCTTGGTTGAACCATCAACCGCTCCTGGAGGAAGAACTTCTTTAATAAGACCACTGGTCTCCTTCTCAGCCCATAAATTCACTTCACCAGCCACTTGAACAGCCTTCAGAGATACCAACAAAATGAAAACTAAAAACTCTTGGTATAATTATTTGACCCAGAGGTTACAAAAGCATAATTATTTAACCCAGATGAAACAAAAAGAGGCCAAGTGAATGCTACCAATATAATTAATAAACATATCATTGCCTTATTTACTATCTTTACATCAATTGTACTGGAGTTATCTTCAGTTTCAAGGAATATTTGATGAGTACCGTTTATCAAAAGTGGGTTATTTTCACAGATTGTATATGCCTTCATATAGGAAAGGGAATCAATTCGATTTTCACTAGCCCCCATCGATTTGTAACTAAGCAATACCAAGATTTTGCAATGTATAAAGATCTCAGCCATATCTATGAGGTTGGAGACAAATTCTTAAGTATTTATGTCATTCCCTCACCATTAGTATTTAAGAAGCAAATGAAAGATATTTCCAAAAAAACAAAAAAAAAAACTGAAAGAATAAGAAATAAATTACCTTGGTTTGGAAATCGACTTGATTAGAAGTAGCATTGTAGACATTATCCGCAACCTGTTTGAAAGAAGGCTTGAGAGGAAGTGACTTGTCGACCCAAACACCGTTGGCGAAAGACAAGCGGGGACCACCCACGGGGCTTCCGTCGGCGAAGACAACGGAAACGAGCTCGGAGGAGAAGGAGCTAAGGTGGTCATTGGATTTTGACTTAAGGAAAGAGAGCAGCTGATCGAGGGTGGGACCCTTAGAACCAGCCGCGATCAAGCCAAGTACCACGTGGATCGACAGAGGCGAGAACACCAGGTTCGAGTCCTTGGCTTCGGTTTGAAGAATGTTCCTCGTCAGGCTCAAAGCGACTTCGGTTTGGGTTCTGATCGATTCGCGGAGATCCATCGTCGCAATCTGAACTCTAGAAGAAAACAACTCAAGACGAAGAAGAAGCAAAAAGAAGATAGACTTCACTTTGGTCAGCCCGAGTCTTCGAAAAATGTCTAGCAATATAAAAGGACGGTTACTTAATGAATAAGGAAACATTATAAAATGGACCTTGCGCCCTTGTGGTTTTGCAGCTTAGGAGAATCCGTGTTGAACTTTGAATCGCATTGCTTGGGAATTAAGCTTGGAATGGGGCTTTTGTTTTTGGATGTTAAGGCCTATTTCTCAATCAGATTGGGCAAAACCCAATTGGAAAATATCCACCATTTAAATCTGCACAAACAATATACCCGAAAAAGAGGTTGATTCGCCACAAGTATTTGATATTTTTTTATACAAGCCCAAATCCATGAGAATAAAATTCACATTTCCGCTGTGAAATACCCATTTTAATGTTACAACAAAAACATAAAACAAGAGTACAAGAATGCATATACTTTGGGCATCTCTAAATTTCAACATATGGATATTGGTGTAACTAACCAGCTATTTGAAATTCTAGAATCCTGAATCCTTTGGCTTGTATATAGACTTGGCATATAATCATTCGTTCATTCTCGTCTATCACAAATTTATCAGCTTCAAGTGGATTGAACAAATGCCCAAATAAACAGAGTAACTCCAGTTACGTCTTCTCTGATCATGAAAAGAAATAGATGGTCAGCCGCGAAGTCTATCTTATTATCCTTGACAAACATACCGCTTCAGAATACCATGACAATGGCATCCGTAGCTGCAGTAGCTTCTGTCCTTTCTTCGTTAACCTTTACGATAGATTTATGGAATATTTTTTAAACATACAGGGTCTGACCCGTAGGCAAATCCGCCATCTCTGTCAAATCTGCTGCATCATAAAAGAAAGGCAATACGAGTCCTAATCCCTTGAGGCCTTGACTACTTCACAAGCTTTAAACCCGGATAAAATCTCGAACCTTGGGATCCTGAATTCACTCACTGCAACTGGTTCCCATGGAAGGTGACTTTCCAAGAAACCACATTCAGAACTCACTTTCTCTACTAAATCTGTCAACCAATCTTTTGCATCTGGAAGAAATATGTACATGGTGAAACGGCAGATATCTCCACCTTGCTTATAAGTCCTAGCACTTTGAAACCATCATAAGAGCTTATGAATTGCTTCTTTTTGCTGGTCATAAACTGCGTTTTAATAGAGCTTCCATTTTAAAGGTAGAATTCATAGTCTTTTGTTTTTAATGCATTGAAATTTTCATTCCAGGCCCCTTTGAAGTAAAGCGCATTAGCAAATATGAGCCCGGTAGAACTGTTAAAAGACCCTGGAGGAAGAACTTGTTTAATAAGATGATTGGTCTCCTTTTTCGCCCATCAATTCACTTCCCTAATGACTTGATCAGCCTTAAAAAAAAACCAAAAACATGAAAAAAAAAAAAAGTTAGCATATGAATTTCCCCAATAAACAAGATAAGAATAAGATCATAAGTTTTAAAAATAGACAAAATTCTTAACCAACAAAGATTAGAGAGAAGAGAAAATAAATAAAATACCTAGGATTGGAAATCAACTTGATTCGAACCAGCCATGTATACATTCTCCATTATCGGTTTAGAAGAGTGCTTCAGAGGGAGAGAATCATCGACCCAAACACCGTTGGAAAAGGACAAGAGGGGACCACCCACGGGGATTCCGTCGGAGAATACCACGGAAATGATCTCGTAGTAGAAGGAGCTGAGTTGGTCGTTGGACTCTGAGTTGAGGAAGCAAAGGAACTGGTCGAGAATGGAGCCATTTGAGCCAGCAGCAATCGCACTCAGCACCACCTATGTAGACAGCGGCGAGAACGCCAGGTTCTAGTCCTCGGCTTCGATTAGGAGAATTTGCTTCGTGAGGCTCAAAGCGACGTCAGTCTGGTCCTGATCATTGACAAGAAGATTAGCTTGCTTTGGCTCAACGAGAGTCGACAAGAAAGTCAAGTTCTATAGAGGAAATGACCGTTGCTGCTTTACCGCGTAGCGTAGGAGATTCAAAATTGCGGTTTCAAACTTCAAAGGTTGCGTTGGATTTAAGCTTTACCATCGCGTTTTATTAGTGGACATAAGGCCTGGTCCATTTCTCCCTTACATTGGACTATACATTTTTGTGCACAAATTTGGTTTATCCATCATTTTAGGTATCAAATATTATTTTATGTATTAAATATGATCTTAAAGTTTCTGATCTCAGGTCAATATCGGCTTAAATGGCATGGCATGAGGAGAGGAGAAGGGTGTCACCGGGATAGGTTGATCTTGGGTGCTAAAGAGTTAATTCATGGGTTTATGAATCATATAGGCTTAAGAGTTTGAGTCTATTATACATTATTTAGGTTCAAGGTGTAACGAGCTTGTCCTGCCAAATAAATTAAATAAGAGGATGAGAGTAAGAAGTTGATTAACAATTCGAAAAAAAATTCTAAACTCTTTAATTTAATTTCACGAAAATTATCGTGAATTTATAATTGCCAAATTTCGGATATTTCCCTCAACTAGTAATTTAAAACAAGTTAAAGTTATATATGTGTTGTGTTAAAAAATAATTACGGGAAATCATAGGGACTTAATACTTCCATTTTTCCGCCCAGTTTGCGCACAAAATCAAATCATTTGGCATTACAAGTTGCAATTGTAATCCAATTAACAATTATTTTTTTGGATAAGTTAAAATTTCATTTGTTAATAACCCTTGCTTTCTAGATTCTGTAGTGTAAATCCAATATGACTTGATATTATTGTTCTTGTTCAAAATTTTAAGTTACTCAAAATATATAGTGACATATGATCTTTAATAAGTGATTTATTTTAATGAAAGACAGGAACATAATTGGCTGCTGGTGCTCTGTTTACTCCTTTCCCCCTTTGGATTGATAGCAACCTTTGTCCTAACAGAGATCTGTTTGCTTTTGCAGTAAGAAATATATTTTCAATTTAATGATTGAAAAAAGGGTGTGGATGGTTTTAATTACGAACAGGAAATTTTAGCTGTTTTTAGACAAAAGGTTGGCTCTAGCTTTTCCAGGATGTGTCCAAGTGCTTGTTACCAACTCCATTATTGTAATCAGGCTAAACTCCATTTAGTGCCTGCCAAGCAGCTTTCCAACAACAGCATGAATTGGAGTTGCCTTCTTTTAGTTTACAACCACCATGATCTTTGTCATGTAAGTACTTCCTCTGGGAATAAGGAGAAAATGAATAAAACAACTACAATTGTTTAAATTGGTGATTCTTGGTTTCAGTGTAACATTTACATTTTGTTGAGCTTTCTTGTGTTGCCATATCTAAAGATCTGTGATCAAGGGCTTTGAAATATTTTTATGTTTCAAATAAATGGAACACATTTAGTGATTCTGATGCCAAGAACATACTAACAAGTTACGAGAGGATCAGAGGAAGTTAAATTATGAAGATAATGGAGTGGAGTTGAGCACTCCCCTGCATGCTAGATTCACTTCATTTTCACTGCCTTTAGGAAACTGCAGAGGACAAAGACAATTTGCCAAAAACTCCTCTTTTACAAAAAGGCAATCAATATTTTTGTTCACGTATTCAACTTCCCTGGAGGAATCTGTTATTGAAACCTTGAAGTATCCCTTTGAACAGACTTATTATGCTCACGACTTCTTGTTGGCTTCACTAACCACTTGCATTATTATATGATATATGTTCCCTGGATTTTGATTCATCTAAAAAAATGGGACCAATTTATTTAAGCCAACATGCTTGCATATATCCAATGTAATGGTCTGAATTTTTTAAGAGACCCCAAAGTTGCAGACAGCTCCAAATGTTTTGTAACAAACTGATTCGTTTCCAGCGCTGACTATGAAATACAAAGATTCCTCAATCTCCTTCAATGGCATTATGGATTAATTAAAACTTGTCAAATTATTTTCAGAACAGTAGTTAATTCCTGCATCGATGTCCAAAGCCTGCGAAAACAATATTGTGAACTGGTATGGAATTAATTAGTGCCCAATACCAAGAATCTGCGGAATTCTCTGCCATCATGACAACAGGTAAAGGTTTTTTTATGACTCAAAATTGAGGGCAATGGCACTGTTTGAGACTTGGATTACTTGTTCATCAACAGACTAATCCTACCTATATTATTATAGGATATTGAGTTACACAGAAACATTACTAGCAAACTCCATCAGTAAAACAAGAAAACCTACTTGCAAGAAAGCATCTGAAAATTTTTAGATTCCACTCGTTAGAAAGTCATTGAGTCAAAAAAAAAAAAAAAAGTCAATATATAGACAAGAGTTGGTTGTTGAGAGAGAAAGAAGAGACAAAATAATCATTTGACATTTACTGCCAAATGATGCCTTGTTTTTAATTGTTGTCAGCCTTTAGCCTCATATGATCTTCCTCTATATATACTCAAAGGAACCAATCTCCCATTAAGAAGCAGCCATCTGTTCCCTCTCTTTTGAGCCTGAAGAGAAGATAGGAAGCAAGCTCTCAGCAAAAATGGTAAGTTATTTATTGGAATTTCAGGTGGCATTTCTAGACCATAGAAGAAATTAAGTTGGTCTAGCCAGTGTAGACTTTGCCACCACCCTTCTTTCTCTCTTATCTTTGAGATCATCCATTCCATGTTTCATTTGCTTTATTCAGGCTAATTGCATTCTTCTGTTACCACCTCAGGGCATCTTTAGTACTTTTAAAGGCCAAGCCAAGCAAGAAAGAAGACTAGGAGGAATCAGGGCTACACTTTTTGTCTATGGTAAGTTGGTAACCATTCAATTTTGTGTTCTTCTTCCTTTCCTCGCTTCAGAGATTTGCTTGTTTTATAATGTCTTTCACTCTTCTTTATTTTGTTATTAATTGTGATTTTCTTACCAGCCATGGAAGGGTTGGAGAATATGGCATTTGTCTCCAATGCCATAAGCCTGGTAACATACTTTTATGGGTACATGAACTTCAGCTTAACAAAATCAGCAACCACCCTTACAAATTTCATGGGGACTTCATTTTTACTAACACTCTTTGGAGGGTTCATCTCTGACACCTATTTGTCAAGATTCAAGACTTGTGTCCTGTTTGGGTCCATAGAATTGCTGGTAAAGTTTATTATCATATCCTCATATTTTGTTAACCATGAGACTTTAGTTTTAGTTGTTGCCAAAAATAATTTTTTAAAAAAATAAAGATGGTTTAAAATTAAACATATTGTTTCATTTTTTTAAAACCATGCATCCAAAGTTCAAACAGCATCTTGCTCACCACATGCTCTAACATGATAAAGCTAGTATAAAATGAAGAACATGCCCACAAATCAAACTGATTAATTACCAAATTAAAATTTTTATTTGCTTCCTTAATCGGTTGTCTATGTCTCAACTTTATGATTTGGCTTAAGGGGAAACCATAAAAAACGAAGCAGTCTAACATTATTACAAAGAAAAAAAAGGGCCATAATTCGTTGACTGTATTAATAAACCACAAAAAATCATCAGTTCGTTATAAATGGGAACAAATCCCGAATAATATGTTCACTTCTTTATTATGGAAATGGTTCTGATAAGAATCTTCTAAGATTTGGTAGATTCATAAATTTGCAGGGATACGCCCTCTTAGCAGTACAAGCTCACTTCCACCAACTAAGACCTACCCCATGCCAAGGTCTTGCAATAAGCCAAACAACTCAATGCAAGGCTGCAGACAGTGGCCAGGCTGCAATACTTTTCATCGGTCTGTACCTCGTTGGATTTGGCACTAGCGGAGTTAAAGCAGCTTTGCCTTCATTGGGGGCTGACCAATTTGATGACAAGAATCCTAAAGAATCAGCTCAATTGTCAAGTTTTTTCAACTGGTTCTTGCTTAGTCTCTCCGTTGGAGCTATATTTGGGGTGACTTTTGTCGTTTGGATAAGCTCAAATGAGGGTTGGGATTGGGCGTTTGGCGTATGTACCGTAGCAGTCTTGTTTGCAATTGTGTTTGTAATCATGGGCAAGTCATTGTACCGTAACAATGTTCCCAAAGGGAGTCCTCTCCTTCGTATTATACAGGTAATTAAGTATTACAAAAAAAAAAAAAAAGACATGCTTGACAACCGAAAAGCTCTATTTATAATTGGTAAGAGTCCATTTTGATTCTTCACTTCAGGTATTTGTGGTCGCTATCAGAAATCGAAAGCTTCCACAACCAGAGATGGCAGATGAATTACATGAGGTTCATGACAAAGAAGCAGGGGTGCAAAATGAAATTCTCCCCAGAACTGATCAATTCAGGTACCCTTTTGATGATCATAGTATATTTGTTCTAACAAGTTGGAAACTTCGCTCTTACACGTACCTTTTCATGTATCAGGTTTTTAGATCGAGCAGCAATTGTCCAGACCTCTGGCGATGCATCAACATCAGTAAGCCCAGGACCCTGGAGGCTAAGTACAGTAACACAAGTTGAAGAAACAAAGATCCTTATTCGGATGCTTCCAATTATACTCAGCACTGTTTTCATGAATACTTGTTTAGCTCAACTCCAAACTTTCACAATCCAACAAAGCACAACCATGGACACTCATATCCTTGGTTTTAAGGTGCCTGGTCCCTCCATCCCGGTTATCCCCCTGGCGTTCACGTCCATTTTTCTCCCAATCTATGACCGCATTTTCGTTCCAATTGCTCGAAAAATAACAGGAATCCCTACAGGAATTCGGTATCTTCAAAGAATTGGGATTGGATTGGTGTTCTCAGCCATTTCCATGGCAGTTGCTGGAATTGTAGAAACACGACGCAAATCCTTGGCCATTCAACACAACATGGTAGATTCTATTCGGCCTCTGCCAATGAGTGTATTTTGGCTTGGGTACCAATATGCTATATTTGGATTGGCTGAAATGTTCACATTCGTTGGGATGCTAGAATTCTTCTATTCAGAGAGTTCAGCAAGGATGAAGTCATTGAGCATAGCCATCTCGTGGTGCTCATTAGCTTTTGGTTACTTCTTGAGCACGGTGGTGGTGGAGGTGGTGAACAAGGTCAGTGGTGGATGGCTGGCTAATAACAATTTGAACAGAGACAAGCTCAACTATTTTTACTGGTTATTGGCAGCGTTGAGTGTGGTGAATTTTGGTATCTATTTGGTTTGTGCCTCTTGGTACAGGTATAAGAAGGTGGAAATCAATCAAGAAGAAAATTGTGATAGCAGTCCCGCAAAGGGCAATCAACTTGAGATGGTGACAATTTAGAATCACGAGGGTTCTGGTTTTTATAGTTCTTGTATTTTTCTCCTCTTATCAATTACCTACATTTAAAAATAATAATAAATGAAAGAAAGAATTACATTGATAAAGTTACCATTGTGGAAATGAATCACAAAAAAATGAATAAAATAGGGGAAAAATAAAGTGATTAACTGATTATACTCCTACTTTGCTTAAATCGACTAATAACATCACAACAATTACAAGCCATGCATTGGGATCCACATTACAGACATTTTTATTATGGTTTTAGATTTGTGTCTACCTCATTGCTTTCTAGGGCTTATTAACCATTTACCAAGAAAGAATTGAAGATCACCTGTCTCCAGTCAATGGGGCTGACAATCTATCTAGTCGCCTAACACCGACTGTCTTTCCTACTACCCAAGGAGATTATCACTCTCCGGCCTAGAAAAGAATGTTGGGGAAATCACTGTTCATGAACAGGAATAATTGAATTAACCCACAACATGACAACACGCTAGGGGTTTCTTATCTACTTATCATTTTGAAACTACTTTATCCACGACATGAAGCAAGAAGAAAATTTTGTTGGTGGTAACGGTAAGGACTAACATGAAGCTTGAAGATCATCCGAGTTTACTATCGTTATATTTCCTGCTGCAATTGTGCCTTACACATCTGTATTGAGTACAAGTGATTTTAATAGATAAAATCAATGTTTTGGAAGTAGATTAAGACTCATCCATGGTCACTGCATATTCATGTTACATTTTCTTGGTCTTTGCTATTGGTAACAGGATCTATCAATTGGGGAAGATCTGAGCATGCAAACCTGGTTTAAATGTCAGCCTATCAAAACTAATTTCTGACAAGTTCAAGATATTGTTTATAGCAGACCTAGCAATGTTTGCTAGGTTTCCATTCCCACAACTATTACATGAAACAATGAAGCAGTGAGGACAAGTTCAACCCACAAGTTGGAGATTATTTCCAAAATGCATCAATTTTTAATGATTGAAAGTCACGAGGTATCCAAAAACAGAAACATATAAGAATCACCAATCCAAAATATGATTTGATTCGACTTTTACAAATACAAGATAATTGGGAAAAGGAGCGGGAGAAGAATCTCAGAACAAACAGGTCGAGGTCCATCTTTGCCTAAAATTATAAGCTTGGCCGGCCTATGATACAAGTTAACAAGAAACAGAGATCCTAATATTGCTGTTATTGTACAGTAAAGGAGCTAAAGCAAAAGCAAATGCAAATGAGTGGAAGTTCTTTAACCACCTTTTTTTTTTTTTTTGTAAATTCTATTTATGAAACCAATCAAAGATGCCTTCGACATAATTGACAAGCACATGTTACACCAACAACCGAGGAATGAACAAGACAAATGATGGCGCATAGCATAGATCTGTAAATTTCACCCGAACCAAAACCATCTTACAAGGTTTTCCACTACCATTTGACATCCAACGTCAATGCCTCAGAAGGGACAAGAATAGATGGGAACTTTGTAAAAGAAATGTTTGACAATAAATTACTCCATGAGACCGTATCTACACCAACATAAGGTCTAACCCTCTTGATCGTAAGGGGCTTCAATTTCTCTGCTTCAACTCTTGCCATTACATCAAACCAAAGTCGCTCAACAGTTGGCTTCGTCCTCCATTGAGCTAACATACCATGAACACTCTCATTCTTCCCAATGTTTTTTTCCAGCTCTAACTGGAAGTGAATAATAGGTGATGCTTTCGTTTTCACATTTAGAGAACCTAAAAACCCATTTTGATTGTTTCTATCACCTAGAAACGTCCTAAGGACCTTTTGTAACTTGGCTATCTTCAAACTCATTGAATCTATCGGGTAGGGTTGTTTCATGTAACCATGATTGCCATAACACTTTTCAGGCAGCAGCTCAATAGTATCCTTGGATGGTAAAAAAGCTTCAATGTGGGCATCGGGGTTCCGAGTTCGGTAGGCAACAAGAGATACCGACCCTAAAACGTGCAGAGGCAGTAATGGCATACAGAACGAATGCCGGAAGGGCCAATATCCACTGTTCTTCTCCTTGACATCACTTTCATTCGCAGCTAAACCAAAGTTAAACGTGTGGAAAAGAGAAATCTCTTGAGCTCCACTTACTTGTAAAGTGATGCCTTCACCAACAAGGACCCGTTTGATATCAGTATGGGATGTGTTCAGCTGATGACCAAATATCCAAGCTTCAGACTACTACTAGTTGATGGCAAACATTAGCAAATGTCCAATTAAATTAAGAAAGAAGATAATTCAAATCAAACATCAATTAAGCTAACTAATACTAAATCTCCTAATATATTTATTGATGATGATACGTTATTAAGTAAAAAAAAAAAAAAACCTTTTTTGTAATTGATGAGGATATCAAAATAAAAGGGAAGTATACCGGGAAGATGAGAGAAGCTTGGTGATTGGGAGAGAGGAGTAATTCGAAGGGACCTTCCATTTCAAAGGAATCGAGTACAGCCGAGGAATTAATTTCGTTGACAAAATTCAGGAAATCGTTGCCACTTCCTTTAGTAAACTTGTTCAAGGAAGAAACTTCGTCGGGGAATTTGAAGAGTAAATGAGTTTTTCCAAATCGGATCCGAAACTCGTACCTTTTGCCAGTCCCAAACCTCGCCTTGCCCACTTCCAGTTTTGAGAAGTTCAGCCCTTTCAACTCCCAATTGTGCTTCAAAGCAATCTTCTCAATTACGTCCTGAACCCAAAAACAAGAAGACTAATGAGAATTACGAAACTTCATTATTAATTATTACTATTCGATTTTATTTTCGTACCTGTAAGATTTGGGGATGGTTAGATTGGAGAGGATTGAAAGCGAATGATAAGATCTGAAAGAGAAGGAATAAGAGGAGAAACGAGAGGAAACGGCGGTTCGTCATCGGTGGTGGTGCTGCTTCAACGGATTTTGGTTTAGTGTGCACCGGATCGTAGAGGATAGGATGAGTCACTCACTCAATTCTTGCGTTTTGAACAACGTTATCTCTCATGTTTCCGTGGTTAAGGTGAAATGACCGTTATGGGCTTCGCACTGATTTCATGTGAGTGACGAGAATTTGATGGTGTTAGTCGCTGGGAACATTCGTGTGTACATGCGATAAGGCCTTTCCAAACTGCTGCGTGGACTATGGAACACGTAACAAAATTGAACTTTTATTTTGATTCTTTATTTTGATTAATCAAATTTTTAATTTTATATTTCGTAATTAAACTTTATTTTATTTTGATTAATCAAATTTTTAATTTTATATTTCGTAATTAAACTTTTAATTTGATGAAATCTAATACGATTTAAAATTAAATTAATCAATTTAAGAATTATAGTCAATTTAACCCTTAAAGGATCTTTAAAAAAAAAAAAATTTTATGCTATATTATTTTTACATATATTAATTACGTTATATAATAAATTTTTATTTATTTTATTGATATCACATAAAATTTTAGGTTAATTTAAAAAAATTATCAATTTTTAGTTTTTCATTTAAAAAATTTTAATTAAATGTAAATAAATATTGAATTGATTGTTTGTAATAAAAAATAATGATTTATATTTTTTTAATTATATTTTAGTGGCTTTTTATACCTTTTAACAAAACATAATTTATATCTATTTTATAATAATACATAAAAAGTATGTATAATTTTTTAATACAATTAAAAGATGTATTTTTGTTAATTAAATTTTTAATTTTTTAATTTTATTATAATTTAAAATTTTAATAATTAGATTAGTTTTGTTAATAAAAAAGAAGTTGACTTATATTAAATTATTATCATTAAAATGAACATTTTTTAATTAAAATTTATGAGTAACTAAATTTCATACCATAATATGTATGAAAAAAATCTTATACCATTAATCCATTATATATGTTGGTAAACTTTGGATTAAATATCAAGGTTTGGCAAGTAATATTTTTAATCAATTTAGACCGACTTAAAAATTAAAGAGATATATGCACATATTTTTAATTAATAATTTTATAAGATAATGATTATTTAGATGACTTTTAATCAGTTGCTTTTATCAAACAACAAGGTTGGATTAACGTGGACATTTCTTAAGTTATATAATTCACCTTTACTACCAAAACATACTGCTAGATAATACAGGCCCTAATGCCGAGAATTTTGAAAAATTTTTATTCATATACTGCTTTTATTAAACAAATTAGGTTCCATATCAACTTAAATTTATTATTTTCATTCATTATTTTTTTTTTTTTTGGATTCCTATCTATTGAATAGGTAAAAATAAATTTGAAATTTACAAAAGAATTGCCAAAATTACAACTCTTTTAACTTAGGATCATATAATATTTATAATTAAACTTTTAAAATTAATAATTTTTTTCATCATTGTATTATTATGTGTGTTTAGGTTATTAATTTTTTATATTGGCAGCGAGTTTTTGAATTTAATAAGCAAGTATATATAAAAGACACATGTCCATTTAATAACTATACATGAGTATTTGACTTTAAATCTTTAATGATAAGTGCATGTATGTAAAATTAAATTGGCTTCCAAAATTTTCACCCTAAGTTTCTAATCTTTTTCTTTTTTCAACTGTTATTAGTTTTGTCCACCTTGTCCTACTTGCTTCTTTTATTTGAATTTTTGTACAACCATTTCTTAAGGACTATTCACTGTTTGAATTTTAAGATCACCACTAAAAATTAGACAATATTTTAGATTTGTTTCTAAAATAAAATCATGATATTTTCCTTTGATTAAAAGTTATATTGTTTAACTTTTTTTTATATTACTATCTTTTAATTTCAAATTTAAATTATTAAATGTAATTGCATGATATTATGTAAATAATGTACAAATATAGAGTAAATTTGTATTTTATGAGAGAATGTAGCTGGCTCTTAATTTTATGAAATAATAATGAAACCTAAATAGCTTCTTTTTTTTTTTTTTCTGATCTTTATATTTATTTACAGTTTTATAAAAGTGAAGCGGCCAAAAAAAAAAAACTAAATTTAGTAATCTTTATCATACTAATGAAATTTAAAATAAAATATTAATTAAATTTCAATGAAAAAATTAAAAATTTCTTATTCTTGTAATTTACATTAATGTTACTCAAAAGAAAAAAGCATTCACATTACGGGGGGCCAGTTGCTCCCATTGTAAATCCGTTCCTGTTCACGTATGCTCAACGCGAGCCACCCAAGATAGAAGAAAGTCTTAAGTAAACTCAGATGTCAAGAAACTGCCACAGCATTCTTCCCCACATGTGGATCATGTACAGTATCTGAAACTTTGGATGGAGGCCAATACCGAAAAACAGATCTACCAACAATGTTTTCTATGGGAAGCGGACCCCTGAAACAGAAGGCAATTTCGAAACAACATGTCAGATTCTGTTCGTATGGTTGAAAAAACATGTTACATATTTTGCTTTCATAGCTTGTTCAATGCATTCTCAAAACGTAGAGTTATTAATGGAAATGAAATTTTAGAATTACCAGTTATGGGAATCAAAACTGTTGTTGCGATTATCTCCCAACACGAAAACATAACCTTGAGGCACAACCTGCAAAATCACAATGTGATCCACTCAGTGATCATGTAACATGCATGGCCAAGACCCAGAGAAACAAATAGATATGAATAAACAAGGACAATCCGAAGTCAGACACTAACCATTGGATCCATTTCATATGCTAATGGCTCTAGAACAAAATCTTCATCTTGAGCAACACCATTTATAAACAGTTTGCCATCATGAACCTACCACAAATCCAATATGGAGAGTTAGAAATAGTGAACAATATACACATTACAGACATGGGCTAAATGGGGGAAAGCAAAACAAAGAAAAAATGAAGATGAATAAAGACCTTATAGGTTAAACAGAACGATTTACATAATCTTAAGTGCTTACTTCAACACAGTCTCCAGCCTTAGCAACAATCCTTTTAATAAAAACATCGCCTGAATTGTACCCAATTTCCTACGTGTTGAAATAAACCCATTAGAAAATTATTAAGCAATGAAATTAGAGCATAACAGAGCAAATTTTAAAGATTTACCTGCAAGATAGCAGGTGCCCTGAATATAACAATATCAGAAACTTCAGGCTTCCTAAAGAAATATGAAACCTGCTGATATCAGACAGAGAAACAAAATTAACCATACAATCTCGATTTTACTGCCTATTAAGGGTGATTAAGGGAAAGAAAATTTACCTTCTCAGCCAAAATGCGGTCGCCAACATCCAGAGTAGGGTACATAGAAGTCGACGGAATTGACCTTGGCTCAGCCAAAAACGACCGGAAAAGTAAACTAACAGTTACAGCAGTAAAAGCAGCCTTGGCATCTTCGGAGCAAACATTTAGCAACCTCGAAATCCAACTACTTTTAACAAAAGATTTAGGATCCAACTCCAAGCTCAAACTTCTATCATCATTGCTCGTTCCTCCTCTGTCTACCTCACTACCCTCCGGTCCGACAGGAGCCGATTCATTACTCTGCAGCCACTTCGATCCCTGAAGGAAAGGGATAATCGAAGCGGTTTTAAAAGGCGAAATTCCCATGGTGGTTGCCGAGGAACAAGAACCATAAGCCGTTGACTTCATCAGCGAGATCAGACCGACGAGAATCGGGTTATTGCAACCGTCTTTAAGGATCTCTGCCGCGAGGGTCGAGCACATGTTCGAACGAGGATGGCAGAGACCGGCAGCGGCGGAAGCGGAATAAGCACGGGGAGGGGAAGCGTCGATGTCGGATTTTTTATGGGGTGAGAGGAAACGGGATCGGAGCCAGCATTCGTGGACGGATCGGGAGGAGCAAGATCCGAGTCGGATGCCGGCGGTGGAGGCTAGGTTCTGGGCAACGTAGCCGGAGTAAATGAAGGTTACACGGATAGCCATGTTGAGAAATTGGATAAGGTAAAGTAAAATTTGGTACAGACTGCTTTCGAAACTACAAGGGTTGATTTAAGAAATCCTCAAAACAAATGAAAGAAAATTTCGAGGACGTGATCAGTGAAGGAGAGCGGGGAATTGGGGAGTTGGGGCTAGGCCAGGGGAAGAGAAAGGGAAGCGATTCAGAACTGGGTAGCTAAGTGGGAAGAGGGCGGTGGAAGGTCTGAGCTTTGTTGGCTCTCCGGAGAAGAGACAACCAGGCTCAGGGCAGCGGGGAAGAGATTTGGCGTGATTCAAGAAAAGCGTAAGCTAGAAGGGTTAGGAGTTTATAAGAAACAGCGTCTTCTTTTTTCACTCCACTTGTGGACTTATTTGTTTCCATATTTACGGAATTGCCTGTGTATAACTCTAGCTATACATCAAATATTCATATAATTATTAAATGGACATGTGTCTTTTCTATATACTTGCTTATTGAATTCAAAAACTCTTTGTCAATATAAAGAATTAATAGTCCTAAACACACATAATAATATAATAACGAAAATTATTAATTTTAAAATAATTATAAAAATTATGTGATCCGTTAGTTAAAAAATAAGTAAATTATCGGACTAGTTCCCAGTGGAAATTTGTTTGCAGAATGGAGGGTATTTTAGGGGATTTATACCAGCCACACTCTTTCAGCATTCGGGTTTGACTTTGACCACCAATGGTATTTTTAAAAAAATAAGTAAATTATCCGACTGGTTCCCAGTGGAAATTTGTTTGCAGAATGGAGGGTATTTTAGGGGATTTATACCACCCACACGCTTTCAGCATTCAGTTTTGACTTTGACCACCAATGGTATTTTTTCTTCATTTCTTGTTTATTTTTGTATGAACACCGACGGAAATGATGTTGCTTCCTGCAACTTTCCGTGTTCAAACCAGATTAACTACTGCGGAAATTTCAGCTGTACGAAAAGACAATAGCAACCCTACAAATCTGTTAATTCCAAAATTTTTGGATATTTGGGGCATTTCACTGCAAAAAGAAAGGCTCTTTTCCCTCGAAACTTCGGCAAACCAGCGGTCCCCAACTCCCCATTATCAATGGCAAAAAATAAAAAAACTCCCCGTCACGGTTGAAGGATAATAATAATAATAATTCAAAAAATATGGTATATATTAAATGTTTTAATGTTTATTTTTAATAATTAAAAAAAGTAATACGTTCACGTCTTCACTTTACTCTAATTAAATTAAAATATTAAATTATTAATTGATTAATATTTATACTTTTTATGAAAATATCTTAAAATCGAATTTTGTTTATAATTATTTATAGAGATTATTTTAAATACATAATTTATAATAATTTATCTTAAATTATTAAATATAATATATTTTATTTTAATTTAAAAAATTAAAAAATTTATTTATTTTAAAATTTATTTTTTATAAAAATATATTAAATTATCAATGAACTGTTAATTTAATAATATAAATTTAATTTTAATGTTAAAAATTTTAGATTTAAATTTCATCGTAATTAACAAAAAAACCCTTTACCAACAAACAAACACTTTCCAAAGAAATGCGACGATTATTTTTTTCCAACAAATACAATGGAATGGGATTATTGGAAGAGAATTCCTTTTGGGCAGTGAGGTAAGCGCATACATCATTGGAGAATGGCACGAAGTCAACTAACAATATGATCACGTTTTTATTATGTTTTCTCTTAATTAACAATATTAATTAGTATTATTTAAAAAGAGTTGAAATGCGAAATTGATGAAATAAATATTAAGTTGTAGATTGGTAAGACTAATTGACTTTTAATCTTAATAATTAAAAATTAAATTTTGATAATGTAAATTATTAAAAAAGGTGAAAATTAACACAATGGACCAATTATAATTGTCTAAGAGAGTAAATGTATTCTTCTAATAAATGATTTTTTCATAGAATTTGTACCCAAAATACAAAAAATGGATCAATATTCAATAATTTGGTTAAGTTTGTGAATATATCTTAAACTTTATATCATATCACAGCTCTCACTCCATGCATGAATCAAATGTGAATTCATCAATGAGGGAAAGACTTTTCTTGTGTATGGTTGTTATGGATGGAGCTTTTTCCACCCTTTCTCTCACAATTAACATGGAATATTTCATCTTATCAAACGATGTAAGGCTAAGAACCGATGACGGATTGACCCTACTTCTTTGACAATTCTTAGCTTTTAACCAATTGCATAGCGATGGGTCTGACTGGAACATTGAAAATGGAGGTGGCGTTTAGATGTGTGTGCGTGGATATCTGTATATAATGACAGTAAATCTTGAAAACAACATCTAAAATAATGTGCAAGAGACAGAAAGTATTCATCTTTGAATGTGTCTTTAGTCCACGTTCCAGAATCCAGATTCATTACAATTTGTCAGCCAATACAACAAAACAAAAACAAATACTCCGTGTGTTGTGCTTGACCACGATAAATCCCCGACAGTCACAGCCCATGAGCCATTCGACATTGTTCATATTGGTTTTAGGAAAATGTGTAAATGATATATTAATATTCATAAATTATTTAAATTTGATTCGAATAAAATTTAAATTCCGTTCGATTATTATCGAGTCGAGTTCGAACTCGAACTTGAATAGTTCGACTCATCGATCGAGTCGAGTTTGAGTATTTTTATATCCGATTTGAGTAGTTCACGAGTTTAATCGAATTTTTATATTTAAATATATTTTTATTATTTTAATTAATAAAATATATCGAATTTGAGTTCGAACTCGAACACAAATAATCAAACTCTTATCAAATATATGAATTGAGCTTATTTTTATATATTAATCGAGCAAGCTCAAGTAACTCAATTTCGATCATGAATCAAACTCGAACTAAAAAAATGAAACTTGATCAAGTTTGAGCCGCGAGTTGAAACTCGAGCTCGAACTTCTCACTATATTGGCTCAACTCGATTCGATTATACCCTTAACTGTGGGTTGTGACCCAAGGTTAGTATAATGGGTTTGGAGTGGCAGTTGATAGGAATAATAATAGGTAGGGAATCATATAAGTAAAGGTTTTTTTATTTTTTATCTTAAAATCTGTATATTATACTTGTATCTATATTTATATTTAATAAATATTTTAAATATATTCTTATTTCTATTTTTACAAGTATTGAATAAGTAATTGTCATATCAATAGCTTATTAAAAAAATAAATTTTATTTTTTATTTTTTATTTTAATCTTATATATTTATATAATTTTTTATAAATATATATATTTAAACAAAATATATTAATTTTAATTAAATAAAATAATAATTTATATTATTTAATAAAAATTTATTTACAAAATATATATAAATATATATAAGATACGACTACTATATTACTTGTTCTCATTTTTATATCTAATAAAAAGTTAAAATTATGTTCATTCTCATTTTTATCTTTATAATACAATATCCATTCGGTTAAAAATCAGGATTTGACATCCCTAGTAATTATTCCTTTATATTTAAGATCCGAATTCCACACAAATAAATTGTTGATTAAAAAGAACAAGGCAAAGCAAAGGTAATTGTTCCCGTAATTGTGAACTTGAAACTTGAAATTAAAGGAACTGAAATAGCTTAGATTCTCATAGGAGTTGATCCCAAGAAACCATTCTTCCTGATTGTGTGCGATCCTCACTGTTCGTCAAATCTTCTGACGACAGTCGAGTGGTATCTGGTGTTCACTTCACTGGCATTGTTCTATCTCAGCTCCCAATCCTAATTCAATTGCAGGGTTCTCTCTGGTAGGAGCCTGTGACAACCATCACTTACTCGACTACGGTGTGGGTGCTCTCTTTTAGCCAACAAAGGCCACCAACAATCTCTTATGAACATCTCTCACCGCCATCCTCTGATGCTTCATTCTTCTCAGTCACGATTGCACTTGGAATCGTAGCCTTTTGTATTCAGAGGACACAATTTAGTTTCAGAGAGAGATTCAGGTACACAGTGTTAAACGAGTTTCAATGTCGTTTCTTATAAGCTCATGGTCATTCTGGTTTTTCAAGGGAGGTAACTCTATGTGGCTTGTTTCAGGCAACAATGTCGTCAATATTTAAATAGAAATTTAAATTGTGATTGCCATCTCGTTTTCCGTTACATCCCGTTATTGTTATCATTATGGTTATTACCGTCGTGAAATTTTTTTAATTTTATATAATTTATTATAAAACATATTAATTATATTTATGATCATAAATTTTTTTTTAACAATTTTAAAAATAATTTATGCCTCGCTAAGATCATTTATTTATATGAAAAAAATATTTATATAAAAAAATATTTATTTATATCATTATAGTAAAATATTTATATTTAGAAAAACACTCATTCTTATCTATGAATTTTTACCAATATTAATAACTAATCAAATAAAATATATTAAATATCAATGATCCATATATGCTAATATTACATTGGGAGTAAATGAGGTTCTTCTGTATTAAAGATTCTTCTTATTAGAAATTTTAAATAGAATTAATACTTAATTTTTTTGAGAATTCTATCATCAAAGATTCACATTTACTTTATTTATTAATAATGTAATACTTCATTTATAAATATTTCATAATAAAAAAGATTTTAACAATAATACAATCATTCATAATTTATTTATTTTTAAAAATATTATTAACATGAATTAAAAATAAATATACAAATAAAAACTTATTAAGATCTTAATGTAAAATCTAAAAAATCTAATAAATCCATAAATTAAATAGCTTGTCAGGCCAAAATTTAGGCTAAGATCCATCCAATTCTTTTTTTGTTACTTTAATCCCAAAACTTACCATTTAGTTTTTAGGTATGAATAAAAAATCATAAAACCTTAATTCATTTTTTCTTTCTCTCATCTTTCTTTTCTCACTTGCAGCACCATTTTCTTCCTCCCTTCAAACTCGAAACTCCAGCTCTAAACTCCAAGTTCCCTCCATTAGTAATGTTCCATTTGTGGTCCAGCTCCAAATGTAGTATCTTTTCTTCTCCTTATTTTTCCTTCATCTTCTTTCTTTTCTATTGAAACCTGAAAGCTTCAATCACCTATCTTTTTCTCGTTTTAGAAACAGAGGGCTCCAACCACCTAGTCATATCTTTCTCACCTTAGGCCCTAGTATTAGTGCATCCAGCTTCAGTTTTTTCTAAATGGATCTCATGATATAACTCACAAGTTTACAACACAGTTTTTGCAAAAATTTCAAAAATAAAAAAAAAATTTAAGTTAAATTGCATGCTTACCTTTAATTAGTTGGTTATGTTTATCTTAATTTAGTGTTTAAGTTTGATTAGGGTCATATTTATTTTTTTTTTGGGTTTTTCTTG